TATGATAGACGGAGTAATGAATAAGCTTTATACGTTGTTTAATAGCTTATGAGCAGAGGTTTTATTATCACAAATTTGATTGAGTAGTTCTTCACAAATACTTCTCATATTTAGTTTATGTTTCCATCTGACCAATTTCCACAGATTGATTAACATTCTACCAGAAATAAAATCTCATTTCCTCTACTATAAGCATATTAATTCTATTATTGTGACCAAACTTTATAAATTTTAATGTGATTTTAAGGCTTTACTACTAGCAGGTCTTGTGCTGTGTAATCAAATCTGATCAAGATAATTTACGATCAATCTGACTGCAGAAAGACTAAGGTTGGACGAAATAAAAACAAAAGTTAAAAATTTTTTTTTTGACAGTTTAAAAATAGTGTAAGTTTTATTATTATTATTATGTTAAATGCAGAATGAAAGACTTTAGATTGCGTAACATATTAATATGTTTTTTTTTTGTAGCACACTGTACACATACTAATACTTTTAATTCTTCGAGCTTACAAAATTGGACAAAATTATGCAAGCTTAAGCAACCAGATTTCATCATCAATTTTAACAATGGTCTTTAACATCAACAACACTGATATTATTCATCGAATATAAAATTTTATTTATAATAAATTATACATAACAAAAGATAAAAAAAAAAGAAATAAGCAGTACTCCTGTAATCCCCAGACTCTTCATACCCTCAACCATCGTATTTTCATACGATAGTTTCATCGGATTAAAGAGGCATCTGGTTCTGTTCAGAGAGCAAGCCGGCTAGTGGTACTAGTCCCCGGCCTTATTAATAATAATATTTAGAATATTATAAGTGTGTGTAAATAGGCTTATATTTCAAAAGTTTCGTATTGTAATAATTCTTACCGATATTACTGTGCAATTCTTATGATAGACGGTCATATCCACACCTCCGTCTCCAGATTTCAGATACTGACCCTGATAAGTAAGAAATATTAATGAGTAAAGTATCATTCATCGCAGTTAAAACCAATTAAAAACGTTTATTAAAAGTTACATAGTATATTCTATTCGCTAAAGGGGAATCGATCTATTACTATATGCACCCATTGCGTTTACCGAACCCCGAATGTATATTATTCAGCAAAATATTCAGTGAAAACTCACCTCAATCCAATCCACGTCCGCCACTCGCGCCCACGGGTAGGCGACCCAAGCCCAGCAGCACGATTTGGCTTGGGTATGACATGACTTGAAAAAATAAATCAAGTTCAATATCATTATTTAAGCCTAATAACGTTCGTTACCGACACCCAAATGAAAATGTGATTACTAAACCAACACCCAGTAGAGAATTCTCACCCTTGCTTTTTCTAGAAAATAGGT